AGCAGACAACAAAACCTGTCGATGCTAAACAAACGTTTTCCAAGAATTCTGACTTTCCTTTCACATCCTTAACACAAACCGATACTGGCCCTCTCCAACACCCATCCCAAATAAAACAATCTCTCCCCCAAACACTGTAAGAGAAAGAAAGACTGTAATGTTTAAGAGGAATAGTGGACATAGCATTCTATGGTCACAAAGCATGTTGACAAAAATTACCCCATCTTCCCTTCACAATTCTATGGTAAGGAGTCCCATTTTACATGGTACAAATCTGAGGTGCAAACCTCAAGACTGTTCCAAGATTTTTCACTTTGTATGTAGAAGTTAGAGCCAGACCTATGTTTTTGTATCCTCTGGGGAGAGGAGGGTGTCATCACTGGGTTATGATGTTTATAAACTGTAAAACTTTCAAAAGTAGGTTAAATGTGAAAATAAAACTGGCACCAATAGTATTTAAAGTACATTTCACTTAAAAAATTTGGGTGAAATATTTCCCTGCGAAAACATGCATGTCACCCACAGTGTTCAGAAAGCACAGGGCCCTGGGGATCTGATTTCAAGTCCCAGCAAAACTACAAACCAGACCCGTGAACTTGAATGAGGCACTTGACCTCGTCAGCACCATTTCTGCTTTTATAAAACCGCTTCTCTGCACTGTAATGAGAATGAACTTTTATACATTGTAAAACTCGATATGCATGCTATTTAGCATCATTATCTTTATAAAACTGAATTCTTCATGACCCAAACTGATTGGCTCTCGGGGTTCCCAGTCTCAGTGAATGGCATCCAGTCATTCAGAGCAAAAAGTGTAGCCTCCTCCCCATTACTCACTCTCCTGTGCAATTCACCTCTCCTTCAGGATAAAAGTCTACACTCCTTAGCTTAACAAGTCCCTCATGATCTGGCCTCATCTCCTAACATTTTCCTGTCTTTCAATATTTCAAACTTCCCTGTTCTCCAATAGGCATCCCTAACCGTTGCATGTGTTTTAATGCGTCTGAAATGTCTACCTCTGTGTTTTGCACATGCCATCAGGTTCCTTCTGGAGCACCCTTGCTGGCCAACCTCATCCGGCTAATTCCCACCACGTGTTCTTCAAGACTCAGCAGAAGCTATTCTGGGAAGCCTTTCTTAAGTCCTACAGTCCCAAGTGAGCCTGCTGCTTTAGGCTTCCCCTGACCCTGCACACACGTCTGTGACAGTCTTCACAGACTCCGCACCAAGTGCCCACGCCATCTCCTCCTCTGGAGCAGCCATTTCCAACCCGCGAGCCGCAAGCATCTTTAAAACATGCCACACCTGACCATTCATTCAGTCAAGGGCACTGGCCTCTTTCCCCTTAGATGGTCAAATAAAAAAATGACAACAGCCAACACAACAATGGCTTTCCGGTGTGAATGAATCAAAAGTATACCTATTTTTTTTTTTTCAGATCGACAAAAAATATAACCTATGTTTCGGTGTGCCATGAGATGAAAAAGGCTGAACGTCGCTGCTCTAGACCATTATGGGCCAGTTGAACTTTCTGCAATATTGGAGATGTTCTCTATCTATATTGTCCAATACACAGCCACTAGCCATTGGAAAAAATGGCTCGTTCGATTCAGGAGATAAATGTTCAATTTTATTTAATTTTAATTATTTTAAATCTAAACTTAAATAGCCACCTGTGGCCCGTGGTGGTGCTGTTGGATGGCACAGGTCTATGTATACTGTCAACTCCAAAGACCACACTGACTTGTCTCAGTGTCTCTGGCACCACCACGGGGTCTGGCAAACGGCACGATTCAGTGCTTGTTGAAAGACTAAGTGAATATGTAAATATCTATAAACACGTCTCATATGTAGTTGGGAACGGATTCCACCCAATATTCAAAGCATTCTGGGTTATCATAAAATTTGGCCAAACTGATCACATCTTGTAAAGCACACCTCATTAAGTATCATGGAAAAAACCCACCCTCTGTGAAGCATTCATTTCTCCACAGGGACTTAAGCTTCGCAGTGACGCTTAAATGACTTCCAGATGACTTCTTGATTAATGGTCCGCTGCTTATGAAATATTACAATAGCCATGGCAGCATCATTTTGGAATGTCAAAATCAAACTACAATGTTTTATAAAGAAAATACATGAGTGTGTGTTTTTTTTTTTTTTTTTTTACCATGCTTATGTTAACATGGGGAGAAAAATCCCCTTGAATGTCTAAAGTATTCCTAGAGTATAAATGACTACTCTGACCTCTTCTTTGAAATTAACCACCGGCTACCCTAACTGAATATGTGTGTGTGTGTATGTGTGTGTGTGTGTGTGTGTTTAAATATATTTTTATTGATTTCAAGAGGAAGGGAGAGGGAGAGAGAAATAGAAACATCAATGATGAGAAAGAATTATTGATTGGTTGCCTCCTCCAAGTCCCACACTGGGATTGAGCACGCAACCTGGGCATGTGTCCTGACTGGGAATTGAACTGTGATGTTCTGGTTCATAGGTTGATGCTCAACCACTGAGCCACCCTGGCCAGGCTGAATGTGTTTTTGAAATCCTGTACAATATTTGGAGAAAGTGTCCTGGCTTGATTTGATGGGCTCTCCTCACTGCAATAGCAGAATATGGAGAGAACATGACCTCGCTCCAAAGAACAAGCGGGCACATTCAATTTGGTTCCAATTAAAAGTCTTAGTTGACAGCACGCGTGAGCTTGACCTAGGCTTGGTCATTTGAGATTTTAAGAAATCTAAGATGTGAACGTCACAAAGCTGAGCTTGAGCAGGTTTGACTCCACATCCAGGTCCTCACTACAAACCTCTCAGAGTGGAGCTGGCAGTCAAAGGCCTCAGTAAAGGGGGTCTGCACACAACCGCCCACCCAAAGGAAGGAGAGCTTCTCCAGGCCCCACCTGGAGCGTCACACACCCCACGGGGGCACCAGATGGCTGGACACCCGCTTGTTAATGTCCTTTCATTGCATCATTACTTCTATAAAGGGAGACTAATCCTAAGTCTGAAACTATACATGAAATAAAAAGGAATAGACCCTCGCCAGGTGGCTCAGTCGGTTGGAGCATCTTGTACTCCAAAAGATAAGGTTTGATTCCTGGTCAGGACACATACCTAGGTTGCAGGTTCAATCTCTGGTTGGGGCACATGCAGAAGGCAATGAATAAACATTTCTCTCTCACATTGATGTTTCTCTCTTTCTCTCTCTCTCTCCCCACCTTTCTCTCTAAAATCAATGAAAACATCTTTGGGTGAGGATTTTTTTTTAAAAGGAATAGGTAAAGTATCTTAAAGCTTGATTAGGAGAAATAAGGAGTGGGCCCTCAAATACATAGTTCACTCCTTTTAAATTCAGTTACAAATTTTAATTAAAAATAAGTATTTATTACAAGAGAATGAATGTTCACTAAAGAAAAATCGGCCAAAATAAAACATACATTTAATCCTTTTACCCAAAGATAATATTTGGTATATACGCCACTGCTTTTTTTTTTAATGTAGTTTTAAAATAGTAAAATAAATAGTAGCTAGCATTTATATAACCTCTGTTTCATGGACCATCCTAAGCATTTAACATCTATTAACTCATTCTGTCTTCACCACAATATTACAATGTAGGGACTGTTGATATCTGTACCTCAGAGACAAAGAAACTGAGCAGAGGGAAGTTAAGAAACTTGACCCAGTTCACAAGCTTGGAAGTGAAAATAATCCCCGTTCAGTTTTGGCTCTGGGAACATTATGTTCAACTAAGTAGTGTGGGAAGAAAACTTTCTCCTTAACTTTATTAAATCCTTAACTGCGATTTCAATACGCCGTCGGAAGCAGGGAGCACACCCTGCCTGTGTTATATTTGATTCCTGTGCCCTGGCTGGGGGAGGGGCTGAGCTAAGATAGGAGATATTCACTGAGTTGCACCTAATACTCAACAGCTGGGCTGCAGGACTCAAATCTGTAACAAGAATGTAGATTCCTTCAGGGCTGTATCTCTTTGATGTGCGTCATATCAAACTGTAATCTTCTTACCTCCACATACTACATAATCAATTAGCTTGGTCATGAAAAGCCTATATTTAACTTGATTCAAGTCTGATTTTACTTTTTTCCACCTGGCTCCTTAAAATGTAACACTATGTAGTTCCCAATTCCTTTGAAACCTAAACGTGCCAGTTTTAACGAGGAACTGCAAAAAAGCGGGGAGACCAAAACAAAATGGAGGTTAAAACAAGTGGAAAGAAACTGTCCTCAATGTACACTGTTGGGCTGACAATGTGAGGTGCAACTGCCGAGTTCAGAGACACTCTTAAAGTCAAAGGTGTTCTCGCAGTCCCGGAAGGTGTTCCATGCATCCACCCCACCCGCAAAGGTCGCCTGCAAAAGCCCAGAGGGACCCCCACTCCGTTTTCTGCTCTCTCACGTCAATATTGCTGGCTGTACCGGGACCCTGAGATGCCTGGTATTATTCTTTATGGTTGTGTTACCCATACAGCAACTCCTTTGGCAACAATGGTAATTACACAGCAGCCTGGTTATCTCCAAATAGCACTGTAATTAACTTGTGTCACTGCAACAGCATTCGTGGTTGTAATAATTGCAGCAAAAAAAAAAAAATGTCTATGGAAGTAGCAGTTTTAGTTCTGGCTTTCGAAAATGACTTCAGCTTATTTTGCTCATTAGAGTCCACATCTGAGTGAGATCATGTGATACTTGTCTTTCTGTGACTGGCTTATTTCGCTTAGCGTAATACTGTCCAGGTCCCTCCATGCTGTCTCAAAGAGTAAGAATTCCCCACCACCACCACCAAAAAAATAATGTCAGCAATTACACTACTTAAAAAATCAAGTTAGTTTTTTTCCAAAATGCATGATTTCCCCTGCACAGAGCCCACTGAAGCTATCTGTATGTCCCCTAACAGGACACATTAGACTATCCCTGTTGTAAGCTTCCAAAGAGAAGAGAAAAAACACAAACAACAATTCTCCCTGTGATACTTACAGCTCCTCCAGAAAAGGGAAGTTCTTAAAAGCATCTTCAGGTAACTGAGTAATGTTGTTCATACTGATATCCCTAGAAAACAAAATTAAGAAGTTTGTTAACTCAGTGACATTAGACTTGAGGCATTTAACAGAAAAACAGTTAGGGGCGGAGTGTTTGTAAAGAAACAAGAAAAATGGGCATAAAGACAGACAAGGAATAGTCATAAATTGGCTTGAGAATGCAGAAAACAGAGAAATTAAATCTTCTCATTTAGAAACATACCCAAATCCCTGATGGTCCCCCTTTAAGGATTCTGGGGGAAAATGTCTCAAACTAGATACAATGAGTGAGCCAGTGTGGCTTCCCAGTGGTAATAAACGTGCTGTATCTGATTTAAAAAGTAATAAGTAAGCAAATAAGTACCCGAGGGCTTGATATAAAAATAATTTTGCTGGCAAGGATGGCTTCTTAAGCCATTGTCAAGAACAATAAAACAGGTCCTAGCTGTACCCTCGTCATATTTCTACAAAACCTATAAAAGTCCTCCAGGTAATAGCTGTGAGTGGATTTCATTTTTAGCCTATGAACAGATGCGGGCTAGAGACAAGTGCCTACATGACAGGTATGCAGCCCATTCCCAGCTCTTCCTTAGAGAGGCAGCAGAAAGGAGAGAACTCACTTGACGATGTAACGCAACAATTAACTAGTTCCAACAGCTTAAAACTGCTTTATTAACCATTTCCTTCTTCCCTGGCAACTGCCTGTTGGATTGGCTTTCCCCTTCCATACTCCACTAAACATCGAGACCATGAAAGACAGGTCGAGGCAGCCTCATGAGGAACAGTCCCAGTACGCAATGGCTAAGTTGCCTCACGCAGGTTCTTCTGCCTCTGGTCTCATGTTAAAGTCTATGGCTGACCCCTCAGGTCTCTCCTGTCTGCATTCACATATGTGACCTTCCCTTTACCAGATTAGACATGTTGGTATAACAGAGTGTAAGAGAGCCTGGCTGGTGTGGCTCAATGGTTGAGCATTAATCTATAAACCAGAAGGTCACGGTTTGATTCCCAGTCAGGGCACATGCCTAGGTTTTGGGCTTGATCCCCAGTGAGGGGCATGCAGGAGGCAGCTGATTGATGTTTCTCTCTCATCAATGTTTCTATCACTCTCTCCCTCTCTCTTCCTCTCTGAAATAAAAACATATACATTTAAAAAGTAAATAAAAAAGAAAAGTGTAAAAGAAATCAAGCACACGAAAATCAGATCACAATAAATAACACTTCAGTCAGATAAAATTTTCTTTTGAAGGAAGTGACAACTTCAGTGCCAAGGTAGGAGAGTGCCTCCCATCATCTTCCTTCTCACTGGAATTTAGAAAAGGAATTGCATCCCTTCTAGTTACTAGCCCTTCCTAAGGCAGGTTTGGAAAACTTTGGGAACAGCAGTAAATGTAGCACCAAAAACAGCAACCACAGTAACAGGTAACATCAGACTGCACATAAAATCTCACTTTACAAATGGGGAAGCTGGGGCTTACTGAACTAAATCATCTCCTGACCGCCACTGGGCAAGTGGTGTAACAACAGGAGAGGTGAACCCCAGTCCCTGATCTTAACTGGAAACTCTGAGTCTCCTAAGTATCATTTGAATCCCCCAGTGATAGTCAAAATATAAAGCAAACCCTCTGTCCTGGTAAGATTTTTAAAAAGGAGGGTTACTGCCCCCAAGACCTTGGCACAATCATCAGTGAATCTCAGGAAGTGCACTTTTGCTTGACGATTAAAACGAGGACTATATGCCCTAGCTGGTTTGGCTCAGTGGATAGAGCAGTGGCCTGTGGACTTAAAGGTCCCAGGTTCGATTCTGATCAAGGACATATGCCTGGGTTGCGGACTCGATCCTCAGTAGGGGGGGTGCAGGAGGCAGCTGATCATTGATGTTTCTATCTCTACCTCCCTCCCGCTTCCTCTCTGAAATCAATAAAAATATATTAAAACACACACACAAAATGAGGACTATAAATAGCTTTAGCAATTCAGGAACCATCATACACATTTCCTAGAACATGAAACTCCTCTGAGATGAATCTTATGACCATAGAGGTTCAGATGCATTCCAAAATTTTCTATCACCGAGAACGACTCACATTCTATTAAAGGTAACTTATAAGAAAAAGAAATTAATATACTTCTCCAGAAACAATTCTTCATATTCACAAATTAATAAATGTTAAGTAATTATTTATATACATTCTCTCTGAACCCAGGCTTCGGCACTACTTTAGTCAGCTATCATTATGCCTGCAGAAGGGAAGGAGAAACACTTGTTTTTTCACAGACACTCAAGCAAGGATACTGGAGCAAAGGCACCCAAATAGGGGTCAGGACAAGCAGGCCCAACTCCGGGCCTGGCCACACGGCTGCTGGTCATACGAGGCCTCAGTTTGCTTATCTCTACGACGATTAAAAGTGCTTGACGATTGGCTGGGTGGCTTCCAAGCCTGGCATATACTCCTCCCATGATTCACCTTTTTCTGTAGTTTTCATGGAGGGGCACACCCTTCCTGATGAAAATACACACGCTTCATTTTATGGAAAGGGCATGTTTCTGAAAAAATGTACCATCATACAAAGTGGAAAGACTATTAACTTTGCCATTATAAAAGGGAGTCACTCCCACTTGTAAACATATTTGGCCTTCACCACTGAAATCATTCTTAAGAATACAACAAAACTTTTAAGCATATGGAAAGGTGAACTAATAAGCTGAGTGAGCAGTGGTTCTATAAAATATCACACAATTTCGGCGCTCTTTAGTCATTCCAATAAAAGGAGAAAGAAGGATAACCATAATTTATTACTGTGCAAAGGGAGGTCCTCCGTGCAGTTGCCTCTCGGGTTGGCACACCTGAGTTCAGGTGCGTATCACAGTAACAGAAAAACTGATTAATTGCCTCACCAGAAAAAGACACATAATTGGAGAGACTTTACACCACACTATTCTCCGCATTCCAATTTTTTAGAACACATACACCTATGTACTTCTCTCTCTTTTTTTCCCACCCTCAGCGTAACAAGACAAAACAGGTCGTTTTGCTGTGAGCTATAAAGGCAATTAGTGGGACTCCGTATTTACAAACTAATATGGGTTAAACAGGACCTGAAGTTTTGTTTCAAAGCTGCCGATTGAGGAGCAACACTTCTTTTCAAATTGTCCTGAGTTGCACACACCCTGAGCGCTTCTCTCTTTATAGGTATTTTCTCTTATACTTTTCGGGCTTCGGTTATAAAACATTTTATGGGTAAGGTTAGAGAGTGGGGTGGGGACGAGCTACAAGATGTTATCTCCAGAGAAGCTCTGGAAACATGTGGTTACAGAGTATAAGGTGGGTGGGTACTCATTTAAAATAATGAGGGCTAATGGTGATAAACAACCTACAGACAGCCTGCAGAATGGATCCCAGACCTGACATCACCCACAGCAGGGAGCAAGCTCCAGGCTGGAAAGAATGCTGGCGGAAATGAGGTAACTGCAACAATTTACCAATGGAAGCCCTGTGCCCCTAATGAGACATATAGTAGGCTCAGAAGCCCGAGAAATTATGAAAATACATAAATAAAAGATGTATAGAAAATTTTCAACTAGAAAATGCACCTCCAGCTCAGTGCCCTGACATTCATTCATACAAGCAATAGTCTGAATGTCAACATCTAAAATTAAACCAGTGATTTCTCATCCCGGGTTCCATAAAGAAAATAAATATAACATAAAAACACACACACACACACAAAATGTCACACAAGACCAGAGCACTACCAACTCCTAAACACCTCTGAAGGGTAATTTCAAGAGAACTGTTGGCCTTGCTTGAAGGTAGGCAGCTGGGGAAGTTGGAAGTGTATAGGCCTGGGAACCAGACAGGCAAGGTTTACCTGCATGCGGATTCACAACCTTGGGCAAACTGCTCATCTTTTCTGAGCCCCAGCTTCTTTATTTGGAAAAACAGAAGCAGTACTGACTAAACCTTGTAGGTTGCTGTGAAGATCAGAAAATGGCAAGACACCTATAAGAAGCTAAGGCCTAGATATGTAGGTTTTATTTTATCGATGTCCATGTTTTTGAGTCCAATGGACTATGAGCAGGCCAAGCCTTCGGTGGCCTTCCTTCCCAAAAGAAACTGTTTAAAAACACACACTAATTGGTGCAGAAGACCTAGAACCTGGAGTTGTTCCTACCTACAAAACTACACTCTAAACCAGCCGTGGGCAAACTACGGCCGGCCGGATCCGGCCCGTTTGAAATGAATAAAACTAAAAAAAAATAAATAAATAAAAGACCGTTCCCTTTTATGTAATGATGTTTACTTTGAATTTATATTAGTTCACACAAACACTCCATCCATGCTTTTGTTCCGGCCCTCCCCTCGAGTTTAAGAACCCATTGTGGCCCTCGAGTCAAAAAGTTTGCCCACCCCTGAAACTCTACATCACCAAATACCGAAGATTTTAAGCTGGAAGAGCCCTTCAAGATCAAATACTTCATGTTTTAAAAAAGTGAAGAAAAAAATTAAGGCTCAGTAGTTGACAGAGTCAAGCACTCTTAAAAAACAAACAAGAATGAAAACAAACAAGAAAGAAAGAAAGAAAGAAAGAAAGGAAGAAAGGAAGGAAGGAAGGAAGGAAGGAAGCAAGGAAGGAAGGAAGGAAGGAAGGAAGGAAGGAAGAAGAGAAGAGAAGAGAAGAGAAGAGAAGAGAAGAGAAGAGAAGAGAAGAGAAGAGAAGAGAAGAGAAGAAAGAATTACATTCTTATAGGAGATTTTGGAAGGACAAGATAACACAATAGCCATTTAAAAACTATCAGGATGACCTCAGGCAGGTTAGTGATAAAGAGAGGTTAGACAGGGGTGGGCAAACTTTTTGACTAAGGGCCACAATGGGTTCTTAAACTGGACAGGAGGGCCGGAACAAAAGCATGGATGGAGTGTTTGTGTGAACTAATATAAATTCAAAGTAAACATCATTACATAAAAGGGTATGGTCTTTTTTTTTTTTTTAGTTTTATTCATTTCAAACCTGCCGGATCCGGCCCTCGGGCCGTAGTTTGCCCACGGCTGGGTTAGAACCTAGAACTTTTACTTAGTGGGCAAGAAAATTCTCCAATGTACCTTTTCTATACATAGTTGCTTGAATGCATCTTTTCTATAAATAATTGCTTGATTGATCTTTCCTATACATATTTATTTGTTTTGTAATAGATTTCATTATAGTTAGGCCTCTCAAGGTACACTACCTGGAACAGCATACATCTGTATGTTATACCCACATAATGCAAGACTCCCGCAGTTTTACCAGAGATCAGAAATACAAAAACACGTCACCTCCACTAGAAAAATAAAGCTGAACATTCAAACACCAGTAGTCACTGGTTTCAAATTTAAAATTTAAAGGGTGCAATTGTCTAATTGAAACTGCTAAATCTCCCCAGTGGTTAAACTCTCATCTTTTTTCCCTCATAAAATTTACTAATGTTAAAGTATCTAGAGAGTAAAGAGGAACATCATGTTTCAACAAGACACCTTTTAAAATCCCTATAAAGGGCTCCCTAAGCGAGCCTAACCTGTTTGCTGGTGGCCAAGTGCATATCACTGTGAGCTCCACCATTGCGTACTTGCTGGCTCTGGGCCTTTTGCCACGGAATTATTTCGTCTTAAATATGCTGTAACTGACCCAAGGATATCTAAATTTGAACAAGCCCTCCTATTGGTAGTAGATAAAATTATACTGCTGCTACCACATCGTTGCTTATATCTCAAATATCACTCAGCAGTCTTAAAAGTCATTTAATTACATATGTTCGAGAACACAGGGTTCTCTAGTATGTTCTCTGGAAAAGGCTGGTGATGTCTTTAAACTCACCACACACAAGCTGATAATGACTAAGAACTACTGCTATTCCAATGACTTTTCAAGGGTCTTTTGTCATCAACCAAAAAGTTCAGGCCAATCTCCAGTTAACAGATTTCTACAGTGTGAACAAAAACAAAAAATTTGGAAATGCCTCTGGTGGAACAAACCTGAAGGGAAGGTCTCTCTTGTCCGTAAGTAATAGCCACACATATACCTTCAGAATTCCAGTCAAAGTTTATGAAGAGTTTAATTTCTTTTCTGACATTAATCCATATCTTTGGGCAAGTAATCTCTTTTTCTCCCCACCTTTTTATAGTAACAAAAGTAACCTATGTTAATTGTTCTTTAAACACACACACACACACACACACAGAGAGAGAGAGAGAGAGAGAGAGAGAGAGAGAGAGAG